GTACGCGGAGCAATCTGTAGAGCTGGAAGCTGAGAACTGGCGACTTTCAAGTACAACTTTAGTACGCGGAGCAATCTGTAGAGCTGGAAGCTGAGAACTGGCGACTTTGTAGTACAACTTTAGTACGCGGAACAATCTGTGCAGCTAGAAGCTGAGAACTGGCGACTGTGTAGTACAACTGCAGTACGCGGAGCATCTGGGGAGCTGGAAGATGAGAACTGACTGGCGACTTTCTAGTACAACTTTAGCACGCGGAACAACCTGTGGAGCTGGAAGCTGAGAACTGGCCACTTTGCAGTACAAGTGTAGTACGCGGAGGAGTCAGCTCTCGCTGCTGTGAGTCATCTCTCGCGACTGAGTCAGCTCTCGCTATAGCCATCTCTCGCGGCTGAGTCATCTCTCGCTGCTGAGTCATCTCTCGCGGTGTGCAGGTTTGGCACAGTTCATACTGATAGTAGTTGGTTGCATTTATGCAGGACAGGACATTCAACTGCTGGTCAATACACCACTCATCATACACCACTCAGCATACACCACTCATCATACACCACTCGTCATACACCCCTTTTGTCGTGGCAAAGATACAACCCAGTACGCTGTTGTGAGCTGCTGATCCTGCAGGGGGCACACACCTTACACACGTGGAATCCCGTGGGTCAAAAGTCCGGAGCGCGTGCGTTTGACTGGAGGACGCGCATGTTGGAGAGAACGTGGACACTCCTATGGTCCTATAGGTCAATTTGTTCTTATAGGAAACTTCCGCCGCCGGCTTGCCCGGGAACTGCTTGTATGGTTTTCGGCTTAATGTGGACTTTTGACCAAGAGGTTTTATCCAAATGGTGGATTTATGAATCAAGAGTCTACATTCGAGGGCCAAATATGCTTGGATGGACACTGTGCTGTTCTTTCGGGGAACTGTCAGAAAGCACGGGAAAGTGGCTACCCAGGACTAGTGCTCGCTTTTGTATGACAGCTTTTAATCATTTTTGGGAGTGGGGAAACTGCAGAAACCCCACTCAACCAGAAACGAGAAAAGAGGTTAACGGGTTCACCTCCGTACCTGGGTCGGTCACTCCTGGTCACTTCCGGTCACCGGGGGAAAGAGGCGGGTCGTATTGGTTCGGGCAAAGAAGGGCGGGTGGATTCGGAGTAACATGTGGGAGGCCGCGTGATTGAATATGTTTGAATATCAAAGCTCGTGTTGATGATCATTCTTTGAAAAAACTTTGGAAAAAGGGTCATTCTTGTGTGATCAGCTTGTCCTTGCAGCTTGCTAAACAATGCTTTAGATCATTTTAGCAAGCTGCAAGCTGCAAGGGCTTTCAACATTGGAAAAAAACATTGGAAAACCACTGTCTTAGCTTGCAAAACGCCTCAGCTTGCTCCTCAAAACGCCTCAGCCTCAGCACTCTGCAGGACCGAGTGCTCATCATCGACAATGTCCAGGAGCGATCGAGCAGACTCTCGGGTAGCCTCCCTCCAAGCAGCACTGGAAATGGAGAAATTCCTAAGGGGTGTCCAATTATAGCTCCTTAGAGGTTAAGGGGTATCCATTAACCACCCCTTAGGGGGTCCTGGTATAGAGTCTTCCTTTCCGGGCCTTGTTCCACTTTGTGTTGGGGGAGGGTCACCACTCGCCAGTCAATGCAGTTCTGGTTGAGGCTGGATGAGCGCTGCCCCGCACTGCCCTGCACTGCCCGCCCAGGAGAATTTCATGCTCCAGCCGCACAATGGCATCTTCATCCTGTCGTGGTGCCCCGCGGCAACATACCGGACCCAGACCATCTATGCATATCGGCTATTTAACAACTATTTGCCTAAATTGGGGTGATTGAAAAGGGGGTCAATGTTGGCATATATTCCATACATGGATGGTCTGTCACATGGATGGTCTGTGGATATGCACTCCAACTGACTTTCACATGCTTCGGTGAATCTTTTATCGGAGGAAGATCCTTGTCCCAGTTCAGCCCCAGCCCACTTCTAGGTGTGAAACAGCGTCTTTCGAAGAGGTTTCTGGACTTGGACTCTGAAAAGGTACCATGTCAACTGAGTTACTGAGTCTGATCTCAAGCGGCTTTCCTCTTCCAAAAAAGTCGGGAAAGTGCAAGTTACCTGACCTGCCAAAACCGATGTTTTTTGGGGGGTCATTGGCTGGTGACACCCCACTCAACTCTTTTTTTAGGCTCAAGTGCTAATAGTGTGAACCTGTATGTTCAGATCTTTGGCTCGGGAGTCAGCTTTTCGAGCTCGTTGGGTTATTTCCCGAACTGGGTTGTTGATGGGTGACACCGGTGACTTTTCAGTTCGGTGAACCCAAACGACTTTCCGATCGAAGTGCTTCGAGAGTCCTTGAGTCCGACGGAGCTCGTTTGAGGTACGACGATCCCAATGACACGGCACTCTTCGCGCTGGGGCGCTCGGCTGCGGAATACAAAGCTTCGTAGTTGGCCTACGCGGCCGGAAGCAACCTAACCATCATCATCCACTGTTCTAGGGAATGAGGATGCACACGATTCCACTGTACGTGTTTGCTTCGCAAGAAGGCTCTACAATATATTCAATCTACATGGTATTTCCTGATGATTACCCACATTATCCCACACTGTACTGGTTGATGATTTCCAGCATAACAGCAACCTTTGAAGAACTCCTTAACAAAAAGACAAACATCAATTTGGTCCCTTCCACTTCTGACACTTTCCATCTTGTTTCTTGTACATTGAACGAAAAGAAGGACTGGATGTCCACGACCGCATCGGCTCGTCCACTACCGGGCCGCCGAGGCTCACGCCCCTCTTGGAAGAACTGGCGGCGACGCGACCGAAGGCGCCGAGTCGTCGTCGGTCTGGTCCTCCTCGTCGTCGCCGCGTCGTCGTGGGGGAGAAGGGACGGGGGATTGGAGGCAGTTCCCACGAGGTGGCCTCATGACATATAGCTGTTTTGCTGTGGTTGTTTAAAAGAATAAGGAAAAAGGATCAAACATGGCTACTGTAAAGCTTTAGATCTAGAGAAGAAAGTATGCTGAGAGGAGAGGAAGTTTTGAGGTAGCACCAAAGACCCCTAAAATCCTTAAACCACAGATGGTTCCTTGAAATCGCGTGGGGACTGGGATCCACTGGGTAGATTCTGCTGAGCGTTCTTGCTGACCAGATTCCATCCCAGACTACCCACGAAGTCAACGAGCATGAGTTGCCCGGCGGCGACGGATGATTTTCCTGGTTTTTGTCCTTCTCCAGGTGCACGACCTCCTTGAGAAGTACAAGTTGGAGGCATGCAAAGACACATGGATATCTCGAGTTTGCTCTGAGAGTTCAAGGGTCTCTCAAGAACTGAGTCTGGTACGCACTTTGGTGTGATTTTGCCATATGTTTTGGGCCATTTTAGTACTGTGGTCGCTCGTCAGACGGCAAGATAGCTACAGTGTAGCTCTTCTACTGTTGAGTAATATGTCAGCCAGTCTCCGCTGCCCAAGAGTACCTGCCGCAGATTCCTGGCTGGGCGGGCTTCGAAAGCTACGACCAGTGCGGCTCTTAGCTATGCATGCTTGAGTCATCTTGATTCTGTAGATCATGTTGGAAAACAAACACGGCAACCTTTCGCACAGTGCGTTGGCCTCCAACCAGTCCATGAAATCTGTCTACCACAAGGCCCTAAGGGTAGACGTTGGTGTGAATCTCCGCCGGCTGGATTTTATAGTCTTGCTGACGGCAAGCCTGAAGAAGAAGCAATTATTTGTGATGCCCAGACGCGACCCTGGACCCTGCGTTCAGTAGGGGCCGTACCCGAATCCTTTGGAGGGCCCCGGACCTTCTCACCAATCCCTATGGTTTGGTTCGGGACCGGGAACGGGCTGTGAGGGGTCGCGTCTGGATGAGCCAAGTCCACCTGGCGCCCTCCGTGACCCAGGATGGGTGGCGATCTGTCAGAATATGATCCCACGCTGGACGATGCAGGCATTGCGCCCCCCTCAGATGGCTGGGATGTGAAGTCTTTAACACTTATTTCAAAACCTCCAAGACAATTTGCATGAGGACACATGTCAATTCAAAGCCACTGCATGGAGTTTTGGCACATTCCCCTCCAAAATCACTTTACTAATTACAAGAGGATACAAGAGGACCCCAGGATGATATCGATTGAACAGGAACTTTCGATGCTTCTCGTCACGTCCATGTTGGAGCATCCTCCATGTTGCACAGCCTGGCGACGGTCAACTTGACGCATTTGGCTTTGAGCTTGGGGCAAGGACCAAACATGCTCGGCAGAAGCTGAAGCATCTCAAGGTAAGGACCTCACGACGTCTCACTGACCTCTCATGTGTTTCCATTCTATACCACTAGTCACTAACCGACAATGTTGGGGAGGGTTCCAGCCTCCAGTTTTGAGTGTTCACTGACATGATACGAGTCCTCAAACATGCCTGCAAAGCACAAAAGCATCTGAATACTTTCTTTCCAATGGCATGCCTTCAGCATTGGTTGGCATTGGACACAAACCAGAAACACACATCCGAAGAACGATGAAGCTGAACCATGCCTAGCTAGCGCGTGAACTGACATCATGGATGGCTTTCTACGAGTCAGGTGCTGAGGCGATCAGACGGTGCTTTCGACGGATCAGGATCTGGGAAGTTCCGTTGAAAGGAGGCTTCCAGTGATTGAAACACGTACTGTAAGCGATCCGGGCAGGAACAGCAGGTCACGGAAGATTTCGCAACTTGCAGAGAAGCAGTTAACTTGCAGAGAAGCAGTATATAATTAGTCATGTATGAATTCATGATATATTAGAGCAGCGAACAACTGTATGTTGGTTGTGTCAACGAAACAAACATGCTACGTAGTTCTTTCACAGACTTGGCGGATTGGAGCGTTTTTTCTCATGTCTGAGCCGTCGACTTGGTTCGTCTCCGCTGAGGCCCTGTTCCTGGAGAAGGGCTTCACCGAGGATCAACTCGATCAGATCGAGGCACGTCGATCTGATCAACTGCAGTTCCGTCCAGGACAGTTCCGTAGGATTTCGTAGGATGAAGGGCCTCATCTTTGGGTGAATTTCCTCGCTCTTATGAGCGAATCGTGTCCACACGAAAAAGAAGATGACCCGGATGACCCGCGTCATGTCGCGCATTTGCCGAAAAGCCCCACACTTTTGGAGTTCCTCACGCTCTTCCAATCGCCTTATGCGCGGGCCCGCATCGCGTCGCTTCGCGTCTCTTCGTGCGAGGCTAAAGACCGAGAGCTACGGCGGGTGGGGGACCTGGCGGCAGGCGCTAGCAGCGAAGACGATGCTCGCGTGCCTTGGCTTGGATCGATCGACCATCATATTCGTGTGATCCAGGAGGAGTTGACTGAGACGTTTGTTTTTGTGGTTTTCAGGTGATCTTTCTTTTTCCTCACTGAAGCAGAGTCGATCCCGCGCAGAGGAGTCGATGTGTTTCTTTTGTTGCTTTTCCAGCTCAAGATTAGACTGGAAGTATCTCAGTGTTTCTCCATCACTCTTGGTTTGGTGTCCAGTTGGGTTGATGGCTTGGGGTCTAATCGGTTGTGTGGAGATGGGGAAGTGTCACTGGAACGAACATGAGAGAAATCACCTGTCACCTGTCAGAGAGTCAGACCAATCAAGCCAAACACCTAGACCTGGCAAATGTTTGAGACATACACGATCATACACGGTTTTGTTCCCAGGAAACCTCTAGAGCCGTCGGTTTTCACAAGAACATCACGACTTTCACAGATGGAAAGACCTGCAACCAGGCCCCATCATCATCCACTGGGCCCTTCTTGGTTGGAAGATACCCAATGATATATCCACCTTTTATCATTTGTTTTATTAATACCCAATGAAATACCGTTATCATACAATAAATATAATCCCAATGAACATCATTTATCTCACCACGCACTCATACGACGCATCTTCACTGGCATCTGACGCCCGAGAACTGCTCTCGCCGCGGCCGAGGCCTGGGCGGAGGAGTTGGGTCTCAGCAGCCGCGTGGCGCGCAGCCGCTTCGTCCAGTTGGGCGCCCAGAGGAAAACGCCGGAGGGAGTGGGATGGGTGTTGCGGGGCCTCTCTCGAGCTATAGCATTACTATATATACAAAGGCAGAGGTATATACAGCTTAGGTACAGCTGTATAGGGTAGGTTATGAAGTGGGTTCTTAGAAAGAGATTTAGACTAAAGACTAAAGGCCTTGATCGACAAAGTGACTTGTTTTTCTTTTTTGTAAGTTTGTGCTTGCAATCTGTGTAACCCTTCTAGAAGCGCTCCTAGCAAGTCATAGTCGTGCATTTGGTTCCAAAGAGCGCGTCAAATCGACCGTCCTCTTTCTCCCCGCGATGCTGCGTCCAGCTGCTCCCCGCGCGGTGCACTCATCCGCCTCCAGCGGCGCAGGTCTTGGATGGAAGCAAGGTCTGGGAGCTTTGATGCCGCAGGGGGCGCCCAGCCATCACCGCGTCCGGTGGCGACGTCCGGTGATGAGATCCTAACACCGGGTCACCGGTGATGTGGAATGGGAGATGCTGTCGTTTTTGTGTAGGTAGAAGTCAAGGGTGAAATAGGGGTGAAATCACACTGGGCAAGGATGAAGGATGTACTGTATAGAAGTGTTTGAAACGGATTCATTCGGCTAATATCTTCGGTGTCTTCATCTTCCTGAAATACTGTAGTGCGATTGACAGGTGTGATGAGGGCATTTTCACCAGCTTTGTTTCCTGGAATTCCATAGAAGTTCTTTGGATTCACTGTAGCTGGACCAAGTACCCTCCGACTCGCTAACCTGGACATGGAAAATGGCCCCTTGGAAGACTATACTTTCCTTACCCTAGTGCTCCAGAGCATCTCTGAGAAGGTATCTGAAAATTCATCTGTTGAGGAGGTGTTCGAACCGAAAGTTGTGTGAGGTTGGGTCTGGACTCCGGACGCGTGCTGAACGGGTTCTGGCTCAGATGCGTTTTCTTCACGAGTGTGAACGTTGCCTGGTATACACTATATAAAGAGAAGCCACCAACCGGCCAACATCGGCCAACCATCTCATGTGGACCACATGGACTTACAAACGTACATGTTTTATCCAGACCTTCGAATCGATGAGCCATGCGGCTGGGAAGGGATGCGGCACTACGTGGTGCGCCCTGGAGTGTCGCTAGTGTTCTTGGGATTCTTGAAATCATGGATAATGATGATCTATAGAGATACATGGATGGCTCAGGGGGGGTGAGATGGCTAGACTTGTGACGTCGTCTGCACGTAGCTGCCACAAGCAGCATCCTGGCGCCAGCGGCCGGTGCACGGCATGGCGTTGATCGCGAGCCCTCTCGATGATGGGATGGGGATGGATCGTCCCCTCAAGTTCAAGCTGAGTGTTACTCGGGGTGAACAATGTGCGTTCGACCATCGCACATTGATAGTTGGAGATATCGGAGGTTATCGATATCGTTGATCAATGTTTGACTAGGCTACTGGCTTGGCAATCCATGGTGGCATCAAGACCTACATCGAGGAGTTCCAGCCCCAAATCCTGGATAGGGAAGAACATATGCGCGAACAGGATGGACCTGCATCGATTCGAATTGATTATTGCAATTGGATTGAGATTTTCATAGATTTTCTAATTTGGCGGCCTGAGGGCAAATGGATCATCGAGTGGAACCGGGAGGAAGGTGTCTGGGTTGAATTGGGCAAATACACCTCAATATTCTGCAACTTTGGGTTCGAACCCCTTCTCAAAAGATAAATTTCTAAGCGCTAGGGAAAATCATACCTCGATCGATCTTCAGGCGAGTGTCTTTGAGAAAGACCTGGTGTTCAACTATGACTATGAGGTGATCAAGGAGGTGCTGATGTCCATCCATGTCATGGTGTGCTCCCACACGTGTTGCCGCAAGGGATCCCGCCCCTGAAGGACTTTGAGGTTTCTTGGCTCTGAATCGATATCGGTCATTTCGATGCATATTACCGTACGCTCAAGTGTGAAATCTCGGACTCATTGTGTTAGAGCTGATGATCTGGAGCACTAGGGTTTGTTGGATATACCAAGGGCGCCTTCGTCTACACCACTGCGGTGCACAACTTCCATGTGGAGCTGCACCACGTGCGGGGTGGCAAGAAGAAGATGCGAGATCTTTGGCCTAATGTGGGCCCCAAATAATGTGATTTCCAGAAAAAATCCTAGAAATCTTGATTTGAATTAGACATGAAAGGAAAGGAAAGGAGATTGAAGGAAAGGAAAAGAAATGAAAGGAAAGGAAAGGACATTGAAAGGACAATGAAAGGAAAGGAAAGGAAATTGAAAGGACAATGAAAGGAAATTGAAAGGACAATGAAAGGAAAGGAAAAGACATGAAAGGAAAGGAACGGATTTTGAAAGGACAATGAAAGGAAAGGAAAGGAAACCTAAAGGACTTGTAAAGGAAACCACAAAAAGAACCAGCCAAAAAGTGTTTAGTAGTATTTGAGGTCTTGAGTAATTGAAGGTTTGGGCTGCTTGTGGGGGGTGGTCTTTGTGGGTTGATTTCAGGTTGGAAATTGCAACGCCCAAATAAGCAAATTTAAAAGAAACATGCAGCCCACAGCCGTCCGCTGCACCACCACCCTGGCGCAGAACGTTGAGGGTGCCTTCATTGGCGCGTGATGCTCTTGGTTCGACTCAAGCTGCCCCACTTTACCCAGGCAATACCCCAAGCCCGAGCTCGACCTACATCCTCACCTTACCAAAGCCAGGCAGTTCCCCAAACCCAAGCAAAAGCTTCAGTGGCTGCCCCATCTTTCCACAGAGATCCACTGGCCGTCCCATCCCAGCCAAATCACCAAGCCGGTTCATCGCATCCATGTCAGGCAAGCCACCAAGCCCAAGGACAAGATCCACTGGCAAACTCATGGCAGGCAAATCACCAAGCCCAAGGACAAAATACACTGGCCGGATCATCGCATCCATCGCAGGCAGCCCACCAAGCCCAAGGACAAGATCCGCTGGCCGGTTCATCGCATCCATGGCGCGCAAACCACCAAGCCCAAGGGCAAGATCCCCTGGCTGGTTCATCGCGTCCATGGCTGGCAAACCACCAAGCCCAAGGGCAAGATCCCATGGCCGGTTCATCGCATCCATGACAGGGCAAGATCCCATGGCCCGTTCATCGCATCCATGGCAGGCAAACCACCAGGCTCAAGGGCAAGATCCGCTGGCTGGTTCATCGCAGGCGGCATTGCCCAGAGGACTGGCTGGGCCGCAACACGAGGGGCACTAGTACTGTACGTTTCTTGGCAGATTTTGTGTTTGTAGTGGGTTGATCGTGTGCGGTGCGGTCCTTTGGGCCGCAAGGAGTCGAAACAAAAAGGACACCCAACAAACTCTATGACCACCACCACTTCAAAAGGAATGGTTTCACATGTTGTCAGATAGAATGTTATTAGTATTTGGCAGCGGTCCCTTGGACCGCTTATAGTTTAGGAGACGCACCAAAGCATGCAATAGCAAGATGGTCTTTAGTTCAAAGCAGTTCTCACCCCCGTCCCCGGCACTCAGGCGATGTTTTCTTCTCGACGTGAATACGAAAGGCTTGTGAGGGGCCAGTACCGCAAAAGAGGCGGCAGTCAGGCCAAGGCATCTTCGCGGCGCTGAGGTGAAAAACATAGCTGTTCACGTGCTGTGAATGGGCGGCCCAGCTAGACAGAGACACGTGTATACTCATGACCTGGGCGGCCCAATGGGCCGCCACCAGCTACACATAGGCACATGTATGCTCATGACATGGGCGGCCCAATGGGCCGCCAGTAGCTACACAAAGGCATGATGTTGGCGACCGTGCTTGCGTTAGAACTACTTGTGATGTTTGGCGGCTCCCTGATCCGCCCCGCCAACTCATATAGCAATATATAGCCTGGGATATATTCACTATTGTTTTCCAATGCTTGGCGGCTCAAAGAGCCGCCTGGAAAAAAAAGTCAGGGCTGCCTTTGTCAATGGAAGATTTTTGGCGGCTCCCTGAGCCGCCTTCTGATGTAACAAAACACTAAACAAAACACATGTTGTCAGTTTCTGTTTAGAAGTGTTTGGCGGCCCCATGAGCCGCTCACATGTATAGAAGTGTGTTTTCTAGCTAAAGATACCAGTGCGGTGACACACGAACACACCAAACACAACAAACGTAAGCCAATTAAGCAAATACCAAAAAGTTGTGCAAACAAAACACTAACATGTTGAAAGTTAGTTTTACTTACCAAACTTATAAACTACTTTTACACATAACTTAGACAATTTTAGTACAGCAATTTCAAAAGGCTCAGATTGTAAGTTTTGTAAGTTAACTTACAAGTTTTCTGTGTGGTGTAACTGCTGTAACTTATTAATAAGTTCCATGTAGTGTCTGTCGTCGCTCCGTGCAGGACCCCTATAGCTCTATGTCCACTTCCGCAGCACTGAGCTTGGCGCGCTTAATAATTACTCTTCGTGGTGAGCACGTGAAAACGGCGGGCTGTTGGAGGGTAGCCGGAACAAGTTGGTGAGTCAAAATCCTTTGGTGAGGGAACACCACATGCGAGATTGATGATATTTGGTTACCATGGATGATTTTGGGGGAAAACCATGTCCGCGTTTAATTCCTACTTTTGCTGAGGGTGGGTCCGGACACCTTCTAAGAATGTATCCGGGAGCCCTTTGGTTAATGAACAGTTGGGGTTTTCCACTTCCATGTTGGTGAATCGGAGTGTACAGAAGCTCTTGAACTATATAATATTTGCTGTATACCCTCTGTCTGCCCAAGTGTGAAAGGAAAAACATCGAGATCGTTCCATGAGGCAGGCTACTCTGCGCCTGCGCCGCTTCCACCGGAACCGATCCCGGAGCCGATCGAGAAGTACATGGAGCCCGAACCGAAGTTTGTGGAGGAGGTGATTGAGGAGCCCGAAGTTCTCAGGCTTTACAAGATTCTTCACAGAAAGGGAATTGAACCTCCACCACACCCAGTGGACATGTGAAAGCCGATTGAAAAGACTATATTACTGGATTTGAAGCTCCAAATATGAAGTTCCAAGATATTTGGAACCCCCGACTTATTAAATTACAAACCCTTGGGGAAGATCAATCCGGAGTCCTGCACGCTTGCAAGACGCACGGAACACGTCGCGCAGGACCCGGAGGAATCAGGAGATGACTGGGTGAAGGTCTCACGTCCAGCACCGCGGCCGGTGGAGACACGTGAGGGACCTCAAAAGATGTCGCAGAAGACGTCGGCATGACGAGAGAACTCGAAAAAAAACAGAAAGAGTCGAAAACATGTTTTCAGAGGTTTCTGGAGCTTCCTGGGAAAGGCTTTACCTGCAGAAATGCAGACTGACGTTGAAGTATACTGAATGATCGATCACAAGGTTTCTCCTTCTCGCCCAGGTGTGGCGTTGAGCTACATCGATGCCAATCTGCCGTCATTTTGCTACGTCGATCCAACTGGACTGGACAGGACCTAATGGCCCCCTGCCTCCTTGAAGAGACTGGACGACTGCGACTGGACTGGAACCCATATGGAACCCACTGGCATCCTTTGAGAGGGTTTTATTTGAATCACTGATGTATTATGAGTCCAAGTACCTCTCCTGAATATGGAGAGTTCAGGAGTTTGGATTGGACTTAGGCTCTATACTTGCTGAGTCAAGGCTTGCAGGGTCCAAGTACCTCTCCTGAAGAAGGCGTGTGTCTTGCGCCCGTGCGCTGCCCGAAGCGCCGTCGCCAGGGCGAGCCCGTGTCGAAGCCGGGTGGAGTCAGCGACATGCTACGGAGGTGCGATCGAAAGATCCGGCAGCGGGTCGAACTGATCGATGGCACCGGGTGCGGGCATGGTGCGGGTCATGGGGACGGGGGCGAAAACTGGGTGTGAACGAAGGAGGGCGGATCACAAGGGCAACAGCTCCTTGAGAAAAGTTTGGTTCTTGTTTTTTCATTGTTGATAGGTATCTCCAGTGAAGATGTTCAGTAATTATTTGCGTTGCATGACTTGAGAAGGAAACGGTGATCTAAACGAAGTCGACTGATTCTCTTTGAAGTGGAGAAAACAGATTCTGACAAGTAGAAAGTCAAGCAGTTTAGTGACTAAACCATCTAAACCCATTTTCATGGACTCGTTTGCATTCACATCTGTTGGGTGTTTGCATCGCACCGTCTGTGAACACCTGTTCGACCGCCAGTTCGTTGCGCTCGCATGGCCTCACCAGCATGGAGGCGGGTAACTCGAAGCCACTCAGCACTCCTGGAGTCATAGATCTTGCGCCAAATCCCAACCATCCTGGTTCCCTCAGATTTGGGCACTAGATAGACGTTTTTGACCATAGCCTTAGCTTTTAGTGAAACCATGTGAAACACAGAGAGTGCGGAGATCACGAGATCTTAGATGTGCGGAGTTCAGTTGGGTGGCAGGTGAGCCAGTTAGAGCAAACCCTCGAGGCTAGGAGTTGTTGGGAGCCTCAGATCTCTCTAGGCCCAGAGTGAGGAGTAGTTGGCCATGAGGAACCCAATCATCATGAATGGTCTGAATCCCAAACAACCAGTGAAAGGCTAAGGACTTGACCATTGTTGTACTAAGTCTATGGTACCAACTCAACCATTGTTGTACTAAGTAAGGCGAAGGACTTGACACTCCAAAACCTGGCCCTTTCGGTCTTACGGGTCGAACCGTGATCCAGACCTTCCGCGCGTCTGATCGGAAGAGCGCACCAAAGAGCGCACGGGCCCAGGTTCCCCCGGCAGGTGGTGTTCTGGTTTTGCCTTTTTTGGGGGTCCATTTTGTGGTTTCCCCGGTGGGTGAATCCCCTTTTAGACTTTGAGGCAATATTTTGTTAGCTTTCCCAGTTCTTTAAGGAAATTTGACTGTTAATTTTCTTGAATCAGTGGTTGTACCCCCATGCTTCTTGCCAGAGCCTCACCAGTGGGTCTGGAACCATTTTGAGCAAAGAAGTTACATGTATGACTGGTAGGATATCGTATCAACATAAATATATAAATACCGTATACCCTGCAAGTCAAAGACTATACAAAGAATGGTCTTTATGGGATCTGAAAGGGAGTTTCCTTTACTTCACTTAGGGAAAGTATAGCCGAACTGGGCTTCCAGGGTATAACTCGTTTTGCATCGCAAATGGCATGTCCAAATCATGCTTGCAAGATACACACTGAACGATAGAACATGGCGGTATTGGCAGGTCAGCCTCCTTCCGCACACCGACATGGACCTTGAAAAGTCCCTGTAAAAGAGTAGAGATAGCACCAGAACCTTCAAAGTCACCTCTTTGGAGTCTGTAGGTGACCTCTTCAGGGACTAAGTGACCTCATTCTGGGATCTCAAAAGGTCACTTTGAAGGTCCTGGTATAGGAATATGTCTCTATATTTCATGCCAACACCTTTTCATGCCTCTTTGATCATCAAGAACAGGATTTTGTCTGTTTAAGATGCCATGTTTTCCTTTTTTTTTTGCGTGTTGTGTTTAATTGATCCCGATCCCTCGCCTACTATCTACCTCTGAACATGAACAAAACGGTGCTCCTCCGTGACCCACCACCGAGGCAAAGCCTTAGCGGTGGCTGCCGCCACCTTCGAAGGTGCCATGAGGCGTTCATTCCAACGACGGCACGCGCAAGAAGGACGTTGATGTGGTCTTTGCTTGATGCGAATCATAGGGGTTGAGCAACAACCAAGCTTCCATGTTTGCAGCAATTGAAGGACTATTCTGGAAGTTTTTCTTTTAGTGTGGTATGTTTCGTTGTCCACAGGTTGGCGCGGCTTGGTGGCATCCAAAGCAAAGTCTCCCAGGAGAACTTTGCAAGAGCTTGGCACCAGCCATGACCTTGGTTAGCCATTAGAATTTGGCTTTAACGGCCCAACTCACGGCCTAGAGGTCTTCTGTTGATGGTGTGTTGTTTTCAAAAAGAGGATGCCCCAGAGCAAAAGGATATGCCGACATATCCCGACTATTGCCCGTTTGCATGTATTTTCGCGCAGTTATTGGCGTTCTCTCCAAGCATGACCAATGTGTTCATGGACCGTACGACCCTTGTCTTGTGCTGAGGGCTGCTGCATCGATGATGGCATTGGATGGAGCGATTGGGGAGTGCGATTGGGAGCGGAAGAATCGCAAGCAGAGTGAATGAAGTGCATGGTAGCACACCGAGATGCGACCCTGGACCCCAATCCTTTGGAGGGGTCGTTGAACCAAGCCCAAGCCAAGGGTTTGGAGGGACCGGTCGGGCGTCGTTCACGGAGCGTGGCCACGGGCATGCGGAACATTGCTTTGATTCGGTTTCGGGCGTTGGGGGTTGCAGTGCTTTGTTCAAGGGAAGACCTTGACAGCCTGCCTTTTTGGCTTCTCAACCTGCCTGTGGTGCTCCTTTTCTGTACTTAATAACTTAATTACCTGTGGGCAATGACTTTCCACTACCAGGGTGCTCTAGCAAATTCTATGCAGTGCCCATTCCTGGTCATTCCTGCCCACATTGGTTCCGACTTCTGCTTCCGAGTCCTCCGAGGCTTTTCGTCTGCTCCATACACTGCTCGCGCTGGTCGTGCGACGAGAGACCGTCCCCCGGGACGTTGGGACGGACGAAGGTCCGGCGCGGAGGTCACTACGAAGGTCACTGCGAAGTGGTCGACACTGCGACTCCGCCAGGAGCTTCTCGTTCCAAATCTGCGAAGTTGGCGGACTTGGTGAAGGAGCAAGACTGGGAGGCTGAATGAACATTGAGGGTCGGGCGAGGCTCGCACCAGGTCTTCTTGGGGCTGGTCTTGTGGTGTCCCGCGAAGTGGAAAATCCCGAAGGGCCAGTGAATGGGAGCAGAAGACAGGGGCAAATTAGTCGTCCAATTTCCTGTGCATGGGGAGGAGAGCTTGGTTGCTCCAGTCAGCGAGTTCCCTATCACCGTTTCTCCAAGTCGGGAAGAGCTATAGGATTTGAGATATGACTGACTATACCATGACCCCCCCTCGTTCCGGGTGTAGCCGGTCTAGCCGCGATGTCCATGAACGAACCCACCTGGTAGAGGGTCCTGGAGCCCTCGACGGGAGGCCTGCACCAACGTCCTCATGCAGCGGATGAAGGTCTCCCAGCCGAAGGACGACGCGGGTTCGGACGCGGTCCGTCCACGCGTCCGACTTTGGAAGGGAAGACACAACAGACACGTCAAGGGAAGCATCTTTCAGCTTCATTGATCAGTTGGATTCAATCCTGGAATATATGGTTGAGACAACCACTCTTTCAAAAGGATCAGAGGAATTGGCTTGGCTTCAAATCACAACAAGGAGGTATTTTTGAAAGACTAGTCATGGGAACAACTGTTTGATATTCCAACTCATAAGATGTAGTTGTTTTTTCTCGTCACAGGCGCCAAAAATACATATCGTTCTGCCCTTAGCTGTCGCTGTTGCCCAGCTGTTGACGTTGAGTTTCCGCAAACGATTCACTTTGCTGAACATCTCAAAAAGCCTGGCGGCCAGGACTTGCTTCCCCTCATGCGAGGCACGGCCACATGAAAACTCTCTGCCAGGAGTCACAAAGGGGTGCCGAACTTGGAGGATAGGGGTGCTCATTATCCACTCACTTAGGAACTTTTAAACATAGACCCAACTCCATGTGACTCCTGGTAGAGTTTTGTTCCATGAAGGTTACTCACCAAAGGGACTCCAGGAATCAGTCGCCCCGCAAAAAGTCCAATAAACACAGCTGAGGCGTCCATGAGTCCTGGAGAAGTAGCCAAATAGCCAATGCATTGACTAAGAGAAACCCTCCACGTGGCTGTCAGAGCGCCGATGTCGGAAGGCATCCTTGGACCACCGGTCTGACTGGTGCTGGGGGTGGAACCACCACGTAGAGGTGATTCCAGCGAGTGTAGCTGCTTTTCGGAGCAGTGGGATTGGAGGATCCGTGTTTCTTCCCAACCAAAGAAGGAGGTGGCACAACCAGTGGAAGGGTGTTTTCACCGCTGGAAGCAGGTTCCTGTGTCCGCAAAAAAGAGAGGTGTCAGAGGTAGACGCCAGCGCGGAGGTTCCCAACCTCCGTCCGGGTCCGCTCCTGTGGGTGAAGTTGTTAACATGCGGGGTGATCATGGGTGATCCGGTCCAATCGAAGTGTCCATTTGAAAGAAAGAAAGTGGGGTGATCCAGTCCTATAATTTTGATCAGATTTGTCTTGGATCAACAAGTTCACGAAATCGTGGTTCAGTGACTTCAGGCTTGCTGCACCATGTGGCTGAAGAGGCACGGGTGAAGTCGGAGGCGGAGAAGCAAGCTAAGGTGGGGGCCGCCGAGCTTCTGAAAGGTTGGTGGTTGGCGGCTTGAGATTCAAGCAGGCTTGTGAAAGAACTTGTGCAGTAGACCCTTGATTAATTTGGATTGAAAAGAGCTTTTAGTATCATCAAGAGTCTACATTAGTACGCAGACCCTCTATCCAATAAACTTGGAAGTCGATGACCTGGACTCAAAAAGACTTTCGGCTTTTCCTCTGAACTCGCAGCAGCATATTTTTTTGCCACGGATGTCCACTGGACTGGCGGGTTTCTCTTGCCTGTTTCTCAGGTTCTTCCCTACTTGCTGGGGCTCTATGGCCCTGAGGCCGGAGATCGGGAAATTGGGGTCAGCAGTCACATACAGGTCAGCAGTCGACTCAGTGCGTTCAAGTCACACAAGCCAGTTCGGCAACCCGTTCGAAAGGACTCAACCCGTTCGCGGGAGCCGGGTTTGGACACAAAAACAACCTCGGGATGTTTGGGAAGAAACAATCATGTAGCACTTGGTTCGGGTAGATGAGCCTTGCGGGAAAGACCTAGCCTATCACCCAAAGGTAGCAGCTGAGCCTGTTCTTCACTTGGTGATCTCTTTGACAGTCCCATGCGGTCACCTGCTCCGGGCCAAAGCAGGCGATGTGACCTCCAAAGCAGGGGATCAAGCTTCGTTAGAAACATCAGTAAATGTACCCGCCACCCAAGGAAGCTGGAAAACAACGTGTATACCTACCATCTCCTACCTAGTAGTTCAGTGGATCACCGCTACCATTGTTTGGGAAATCCAACAGGTGCAAAAGGAGTTACAGTATAACTCCCATGCTTTCCAGTGATCTCCAGCTTGGGAATCAGTACCTCAAACCCTCAACCCTCCCATGCCCTCAACCAGGTCCTGGACTGGAATGTCCGTCCTCTCCGATGACCCCGGTCGCTCGCCTGGTCTCGGACACCCCCCGTAGCTCCGCCATGGGGGGGGGTCGACACCGCCTTCGTCTCCAGGCGGTGGCCGAGGCGGAGAGGAGCACCACGGTGGCTCAGGCGCGATGGACGGTCGTGGTTCGCACGTAGGCGGTCGGGCTTGGACTTCCAAAGCACGCTTGGGCTCTCCCAACATTTGGGGGTCAATCACTTCCCAAATCGCAGAAGACCTTTTGAAGTCTTGGTGTTTTGAGATGTTTTGGGACTCCTCAGGTGTTGGGAGAGGTTTTTTTGGACTGTTCAAAGTGAACCCACCCGTTCATTGGTGATGGACCATTCATCTAGGCACTGGATGTTTTTATGGTGAACTTCGGCCACAGGAAGGTAAAGAGATGGAGCATGATGGAACACGGGAAACAATGGATTAGAAGAAGCCCGAGCCAATTCATGGGCTTCGTGGGGTCTTTGCCCTACGGCACCCATTACCTTAGGCAACATGCTGGCCGGAAAGAATTCCAGCTAGAGATGACCATGAGGCCATTAGACCCGGTTCTTTTCTCCACAGGCCGAATGGCGATATTCTTGGATGGTGAGGTCCTTCTTCGATGCAAAGTGTGGGGCTTAGCCAGTGATCTTGAGAAGACCTCATGAAAAACCTGGTGCGACTCTATAGGGAATGAGGTCATGAGATTCGATTCCTTGTTCCCGTCTTGCGAGTCAGAACAAGCCTGTAGTGGTTTGCAGTGGGCGTGGGATGCCACCTGTGGATAGATCGTCGACGGCCTGATCTTCACACTCCGACTGCGGCATCCAGAGATCTGCGAAGGTATAACAGGCCTCGCAACGCAACAAGTGGACCACCAGCCATAAGTATATACCTGTAAGCCATCTAAAGCCCCGACATGACCTTTGTGTTGATAGTGGGTCGTTGCGTGTCGTATTTCAGTGGCCAGTTTCAAAGGCTGCCATTTTCGCAAGAGCGGAAGCTGAGGACACTTCAATGCCTGCAAGCCGAGGTTTTGAAGGCCTACGAGGCGGGCATTTGTAAGCGGCCACCAAGCCGTCAAACCGAAAGTTGCTTCGGACACAGCTCATTTTACTCCACCAACCTGGTATAGTCATAATCCACTATGTCATAGGGGTAAAATTAGTCATTTGGACTCTCAGGGAAGCCCGCAAAGACATGACCTGCAACTCCTTAGAATCCTAGGGGATCAGAATTCCGGTCCGGTGTTGGAGGTGGAAACTCCTTGGTCGGAATTCAGGAAGGAGACTTTACTGCAAAAACTCTGGAGAGCAGCTGTTGCCAAACTTTCTTCCTGAAGTCTAGGAACAAGAAGCCTAGGGGCTCCTTGCATCGCTACTGGGAGCAAGGACGCTACCAGGGGCTCCTGGCCTTACTACTATAGGAACAAGAAGCTACATGACATGTGATTCCAAACACGGACCCCCATCATGCTGGAGTCCACTGGACCCTCAAATGGGGCGTCCCCAGCTTGAATGGGGCGTGACTGTGGGTCATGAGGTCAAGCTCAATGGGTGTGTCTTTGAAGGAGGACCTCCCAGTGCGTTCTGACTATCTGGGAAGGAGAAGGAACATAGACCTGGTCGGCCACGATTGGCCTCCCTAATAGAACAAACAAACATTCCAAACTCAGGGCGTGAACCTCACGTTCCCAGGTGTGAATGAATAGGTAGACCTGAAACTCATAGGGAACTCCCAAGGCCTGGAGGAACTCCCAAGTTCACCATCCGTGCCCCCCCAGTCCCTCCCCGCTCGCGGTGCCGGACTCGGAGCTCCGCACCCGGTGAGGCGAACGAGTTCCAGGCGCGGGGAGACGGGCCTGACGGGGAGACGGTGGACGTACGGGGTTTCCCTGCAGACGGGTTGGCTCTGGGAGGTGGTTGAACTCGTGGCGAGCGAACTCGTGTGGAACTAACGTCCAAAAGGCATATATAGTCACGGGCGCCGCGCGGTCCGAAGAGGGTGAAAGAGAGAATGGTTCAAATATGTTCAAAGCTGTAAAGATCTGTAAAGAAGACCCTGGCCCTAGTCTAGCTATAGGCATTACTAGGCCGCTCGGAATTCAGGACTTGACCCCAACAACAGCGCCACACCGTGGAGGGTCTTGAACGATCAGGAATGTCTGCATTCGGCGAGAGGGGCATAGTCGTTGGAATGGAAGACTCTTCTGAGCTAGTACCGTAGAAGTCCAACTTCGTAGATTCCAGGAGGAATTAGCAGAGACTAAGAGCTAAGCAGCTAAGGATGCTGGTGGCTCCAAGACAAGCTAGGGGTACGACCAAGAATAGGTGTGAAAAAGGTGGACTCCAGCCGCCAGCCCCAAAAAAGACCCGGAAGAGCAAACTGAGCAAACATCCTACAACCCATTGGACCAAAAGGTCTCACGCGATCTCAAGAATGGTAATGGTATGATTGAATTGATTGGAATGGAAGTTGACTGGGCCCAGTGGAAAAAAGAACCGACCGGACCCGGTGCCAGTGACTGACGTTTGTGTCCTCTAGACTTCCAAGTGTAGGGACCCTATAGCCTATACCAATACCGAACTGCCCTCCGAACTTCCACCTCCATCCACCCCCCGCCCCATCCGCCGGGGTGTACAGCCTCTTCCAGCCTGGCTGTGAGGCGGCGTGTGAAGAGCTGAACGACAGTTGGGACTCCTCCATGTGCATGCCTTTGGATCGCAAGATGCACTCCATCGAGGCGGTCTCGGACCGTTCGTGCGCCGCGGCGAAGCAGCGGACGAAGACGTGTTGGAGACAGATTGGGCAGGCAGAATCGGCGTGAGGAACGATGGCCTGGCCCGGCCATTCTGGCCGGGTCCCCCCCAAAAGCAGGTTGATGTCATCAGGCATGGACTTATGGTCTTATGACATCGATTTTTGCATGACTCTTCGTCTAAAGTGGTCTTGCTGTGCGGAGTCACCAATGCGAAGTCTTCCATCATGTTCATATGAGGATAGAGAGAGAGAGAGAGAAGATATTCTTTGTGGAGTAAACCCAGAGATGACCAGATGGTCCTGAAATTCCAATACCCAGGTTGGCTCCGTAGCTTGGCGAAATCCTTCGTAAAACACTGTAAAATGATCGTTGTTCAAAAAAGGAAACACGCATGGAACCAACGGTGGTCCTGAATCCTAGGGAAATCAACTGATCTAGAGTGTTACACCTTAACACCGCTTTTCAGGACTCGAATCGCCCAAAGAATGCTCAAAGACATCAAAGACTGCTTTTGGCCAAACCTCCAAACTTGTAGATCCAAAATTTCAGAAGCACCTGACCTTCGAGAGAAGAGTAACTGGAACTACAGATTACACAGATCTGAGATATTGGACTCATTGGTTCCCAACCAACCTCGCAGGAGTCCCGCCTTCCTCGTTCCTCCGCCGCAGGATCTGTGCCTCCAGCGTGCGCTGAAGCGAATTCTGCCACTGGGCCGCCTGCGCCCGCGTCGCACGAACTCGAGACACCCCGGGGCCGAGCGCGAGGGGTGGGCCAGGCCGGGCCGAGCTCAGGTCAGGAACTGTTGGGCATGGTCCACACCTTGGGTAATTATATCCCATCATCAGCAACAGTGGACGATGATGCTTAGCTCGCAGGCCTTTCCATCTCTAAAATAGTGATCAGTGATCATCGTTTACTGACTGCTACAGGTTTCCTGGCACAAGCCCAAGCCTGGAAGACTAGAATGAACCCTGACTGAACACCACTGGTTGGTAGAGGAGAACAATCTTCCACGGGGCCATTGTCAGGGTCCATGTTAGTTTTCGGGAGTGTAAGACCATGCCATGCAGTGAGGAAGGTAGAAGGGACAATGGGAGCTGCCCCGCTCTTTGACAATGATTACACCATAAATATCCATAAGACCTTTGGTTACCACCTCTCATGCCTCGGCAAAAGCCAGTCGTCCGCTTTCACACAGATGTGTTCGTCGACATCTGCAGAACACTTGTGGCTCAAGCATTTCTCTGGCTTCTCCGCAGATCGAGTCCTTTAGTCTGACGCACTGATTCTCCGCATGAAGCTGGTTCGGTTGCTCGTTCGGTGGCTCCTGGCTGTACAGATCACGCGTTCCGTCGGTGGCGCTCCGAGCGGATCTCTGCGCGGAGCAGCGGACGAGCCATCGGCCCGTCCGGCCCGGACGAGCGCGCCGGGTCAGACGGTGCCCGTGCCGAAGTCGCAAGTCGGACACGGTGGAAGCGAAGAGAAGGTGGAAGCGAAGATTGCGAGCAAGACAAAGGCTTCAGAGAAATCCAATGAGATGAAGGGAACCACTCCAGATGGTGAGGGTGTTCCAGCTCCAGAAAAAGGTGAAGCAGGGCCCTTAGAGGGAGAATGGAGCAAGTGGGAGGATGTCAACAACCTCCAAGCCAAGGAAGACGCTGACACCACTGCAGATGGTGGCAGCGTGACTTTAGAAGGTGAAGA